AGCTATCCTATGCTTGTACTTACAAAAATTGAATGAACCAGCCATAGCTCGGCAAGCAAAGACCACTGTTTTATGACCTAGACGAATTGCTTTGTCTTCTGCTTATCAACAGATACACTCATTAATGAGACATATATAATGGAAGAGATCATGAGAAACTCTTATTCCGTTTTACTTTAGGACTTTTCAAGCTACTATGATTTCCATACATTTTACTTAATTTAGTCCCCCTTTAGAGTGTGAGTGTATAATACGGGTTAAAGGATCCTGCCGGATTTGGTGACCTATCCTGAATCAGGATACCATACATGTGATTTTGGAGTTTTATAAATTTTGGGTGGGTGTGGGTGTGGGTGGGATGGGTGTGGGTGTGGGTGTGGGTGTGGGTGGGGTGGGTGTGGGTGTGGGTAAATAATATACCTACATCCATACCCACACCCACACTAGAGAGTAGCGGGTCCGTCCAGACCCGGACCCGGACCCGGGTCTGGATCCGATCGGGCCCGGGTCCAGAAAATTAATGCCACCCGGGTCCGGGTCCGGGTCCAGAAAATTAATGCCACCCGGGTCCGGGTCTGGGTTCGGGTCTAGAAATTTGATATCACCCGCGTCCGGGCCTGGGTCCGGGTCCATACATGTGATTTACTTTCAGACCCGGTTTGCATTCAACTGCGAGTCTAATCTAAGTACTGGAGAGTTTAGGTCATCGTATAATATTTCCTGTATTCTATTTCAAAATTTCTTGGCTATTTTTAGTTTTGAAATTAAAAAGTCATTTGAAATAGAAATAACGAATGAAGTTGAAAAAAACAAGAAAAATAAACAAAAAAGTAGACGAATATTAATAAGTTACTATTGATTTGGGAATTTTTAATGATAAGTTTTGATTATCAATTAATTCTCTAATTTGCTTTTTTGGTTGGCATTATGTTCTTTTCAGTTAAGCAGTAAAATGTTAATTATTAAGCATCATGTTGCATGATGAACAAGTGAACAACAGGAAATACCTGTATATACACTTTTCCTCTGAGAATAGCCAATAATTAGCTAAAACCATGAGCCTTTACTTGTTCCTATATACAGATGGTGCTAAATATTGGCGAAACACTTAACGGATCTGGACCCGAGCGGGTCCGGGTTCGTATATATCAAGCCCGGATCCGGGTCCGGGTCTAGAAAATTAATGCCACCCGGGCCCAGATCCGGGTCCGGGTCTGGGAATTTGATATCACCCGGGTCTGGGTCCGGGTCCGGGTCCATAAAAACCTGGACCCGTTACTCTCTAACCCACACCCACCTACACCCACACCCACACCCTTATCTGCCATATTATTCCTCATGCACGAAATGTATTGTTGGTTGGGTTTAATTTAACGCGTCAAAGCAAAAGTTATCGAAAGATACCACTTAAAGTGTGAACAAGGCAAAGAAGGCGTGTTGATGATATGTGACACATATGATTCGCGAGTGGTGTGTCTTAATCAGACGGTCCATGATGAATTAGCTCCATTAAATTTATAGAGACGTAACAGCAAGGTTTCTCTGCTCTAATGTAAGAAGCTGCAAAAATCTGCGCCAAATGTAATCAAATTGTGTCATAATAGTTCTTTTTTCATCAGGACTTGCCAAATCCATATTGGCTTTTTTCTGACACACAGAAAGTTGTATCTTGTTGTCAAAGCAACTCGATTATTTTATTGGATGTTTGTTCATGATTCTTCTTGTAGAGAAGGTCAATTTTAGATATCAGTTTGTTTTGTATTGTTTTAGTTAAAGAATAACAAGTATAATAAAGATAATTCATTAAATTACAGTAGAATATGTTCTCTTTAAAGGAATGATTATCATCCACTTGATTTTACGAGGCTAAGAGTATAATTGAGCAATCATTTTGCATTTATGAACATGAGTAACATGTAGTCTAACTATAATAAAATTACCTTAAATTTTCAGTTGATTATAAAAATAACAATTTTTTTAGTTTGTGCCGTGACTGCTTAAATTTCATGGTTAACTTTTAAATAAGTGATTAATGAAATTGTACATAGAAAAGAAATTCTTTTAAAAACTTTTAATGAAAAGTCTATTTATTTTCAAAGTTACTAATATATGTAGAGGATGCAAATGTTCGTTCAATCAAGACTTCAAATCTCAAAATATTCGCTATGATTCATAGAGAAAACATACGTTTCATTACAAAAGCAGGATTGCATCCGCTTGAGAGCATTTAACTGGATAAAAAAAACACTAAAAACCTTTAATCGAAGTATGTAATAAAAGGGTATGATCTTCATCTCTTAATATAGCATTTGATGTTGGATAGAAAAGAAACAGAGAATGATCAATTCCTTTTTCTTGAAAGACAGAGTATTAAAGTTCTAGAAACATACTAAAACATTTGCTATATTATTTGATACTTTGTGTATTAAATTGTTAAGACAGTTTGTCAAATATAACTAAATAATAACGAATGAATCATTCCATAATTTTAACTATTGAGAAATTAAAACCTTTCTTGAATATATTTCCTTTTATCTTTATCTCCGATGTATTAAAAATGAAATGTTATATGAGCATTGTGAACAAATCTACCTATATAAAATATACTATCAAATATAACAGAGTAGGAAGTATTTGATGATGAAAACAAAAGTAAAGAGTTTTATGGCCATGATTTTATTCATAATGAATAATTTAGTGACGATAAAAACTTTATTTATTTAAATATTTCGAAGAAAAATAAAATAGAGTATAATAAGCATAAAAGATTTTCTAATGTTGAAACAGATATCTTGATGAAGTTTCTGTTCACTGAAGTATACCATAAGCATAAAATACAATAAACTAGAAGAAATAATTTATTGAGCTGCTTTCAATTTCATCATATGTGTAATTGAAATTTATGCAGCATTCTAGTTTTATACTTACATGTGACACACAGGACAAATATCGAATAACTATAATAGAAATCAAATCAAACTGAAAATACTTACTTTTATCTAATAGTTAATTTAATAGTTTATAAGCCTTCCATATAGATTAAAAACATGTGCTCTCAGAAAGTGTCATAGATTTGTCTTACGGATGTTAATATTCGTCTCTTCGATACTCGGCTTCATGAACAAATGTGGAAAACATCGAAGATACACCAATGAGATTTCATATGTTGTTGTGTAATTCAATATAATCAACACAAACAAATATAATCTCAATTTTGGTGGCCTTCGACATGTTCGATCGACCCGAAGCGTCGATATTAAGCGACGATAGCAGGGTTTCGTTATGATCGAAACACGCCGGAAGCCGGGTTTCTAACTCAGACATAAAAAGTCCAAGTCAATTCGAAGTACGAATATTTTCACTGCATAAGCAAGTCTTTCACCAGCGAGAGCACACGTTTCCAATCTGCCATCGAATTGGTTTTTAAGCCGCCGGGTGTGTGCTTTTGTTGCACAATACGCGGTTGATGATCAAAATTGGAATGCAGAAAAAGGGCTTCAAAACACGCCTTTATATAGTTGACGATGGTATTGCACAAGCAATTACCAACACAGAATATTCGAGAAGAAAAGAACGACAAAAACAAAATTACTCTGCAGGACTTGATGATGGTGCAATCAATGTTTTTCTCTACTACCGAAATAACATGGTCACATGATAAGAATGTGATAAAATATAGTAGTCGAAAGTGAGAGCCAATAAAAAAAATGAGCGAGTCTCATATCAAAAAAGTTTCATTGGATCTTTCCATTATCTAACAGGATCCGAGTTTCAACGTTACATCTGATTCGATTATATTTCTGATGATTATTTATGAGAAAATTATAGTTATAGTTTGTGTTACACCGAAAATAATCTTATATTTTGAATTTTACTAGTTATTATAGGGAGAAACAATTTTATTTTAATATTTAGTGTCTAAACTACTAACTAATTCTTCATATTGGTAAATTGTTGATTCATTTTTATTAATGTGTTCCTTTTTATTTATGAAATGTTCGCAGATTAAGAAATTTGAACCAATTCTGATGAAATTCATATATGGGTGATACTGTTAAAGAAAATCTTGATTGAGTTGTTAATGATCAAGTTAAATATTAAAAATATCTCTCTGTTCAATCAATAAGTTTTATTAAACAAGTTAATGATGATTTACTAATTTCTATGTAAAACTAAAAATACTTTCTCAATCTTCTACGTAAAAATTTTTCACATAGATTTGCTTCTCTTGCTGTTAAATGAGGGTGTGAATATAGCTGAGTAGATGTGGTTTTCTTTATGGGTGTGCTATGTTAGCGTATTGTATGAGGCTATAGTTGATCCACAATCACATACATACCTGATTTTAAAACATGTGGTCGAGTTGAAAATCAAGAATCAGCAAGAAAAAATAAAATAGTTTCTAAAGAAACTCAATGTAATTAGAGTTTTAAAATATTTTGAAAACAATCAAGTTAGTTATTTTAATTCGAGATGATTATTTGAAAAATGATTGCAGATAAACTTATTTGAAATAAAACAAAGATTCTTCGAGGGAAATGACAAAAGCTTTAGACAAATCGTTTAAATTCTTCAACAGTTGTTCATGATTTTTCGTACGACGGATTCCTCAGACATTTGTTTAACAGAATATCACACAGAACCGCTCTTCTTAACTCATTGCAATTCAATAGATATAATTTCAATGAAAAGAACTACTATTTTTGGTATAATATGTTAAATAGATAACACTTTTTAAATACTTCAAATGACTTTTTGAAGGAGAGGGAATATTTTGCTTTTATTGAATATGAAACTATTGGTCTTTTAGTGGTTCGTAGGCAATCAAAATTATGATCTGTCTGTATTGGAAAGTTTTTGTTCAGTCTACTATGTACTATTAACAATAAAAACATATTGTCTGCTTGAATGAAGAACAATCTTCGAGTACAGAGTAGGTTCATGTTTATTACAGGTATATGAACATTTCTGACATTTGTACAATAGTGAAAGCAACGTTTTTAATTTGGTGAATATAGAAGCAATCGTGCAAAAGGTTCATCTAATGAGTCTTCTTCTTCTGTCTCCGCATCAAATCCATTAAGTAATTGCTTTTTACGTGTGCTCAGTTCCAAACCGTTTTTCTTAGCCAATTGTCGAATAAGTCGACATCGCTTGCCGAATGCTTCTTGAAGAGAGATTGTACGAGTGCCATCAGGCATTATATCGAGGCACTCGCACGAGAAATGATGATGAACTGGACATTGAATAAAAAATTTCATTTCATTGTGTGTTAATCCCAAGTGATAGTTGAATTCGTGCTCATCGAGTATGCCTGAATTCCAGGCTTCGATGCAACATGCGGACGAATCACCTGAATGGAATTCTACCTGTTCACCAGAAGTTCCATGCAAACTCTTATACTTGTCGGCAAATTCCATAAATCGACTCATACTATGCCTCTGTGTATATGGTCCTTCATAATAAAATTTTCCCGCTTCACGCATAATCCATAGACGACGATTATCTATTGACCACAACTTATTATAATGTTCATACACCCGAATTGGTGGCAGTTCTTCGATAGGCATCAAACCAAACTTGAGGGTAAAGTAAGTGTCGAAAACATCCATATTTTGACTATTGTTTGAGAAACGTGAATGTATGTGTGTTTGTGTGAAATGTATACGAGAAATTTCATCGATTTCTAGTTTCCGAGGTGGATCATTAAGAAGTAATGCAAGACGGTTAGCACGACGTTTTCGAGCAGTCGACATTCCGAAAATGTTTGATTTCGTCTTTTTCTTTTAATAAAGTAACGTAGAGACGAACACTGGGTTTTTTCCCACTGCACTCAACTGATAGAGTTTGTGCATGTGATATTTATGAAGTGAAGAAAAATAACCAAATATTATCTTCAAAGGCTACATTAACAATAATAGCTCTTTATCATATTTTAGTGATGACTAGACGGCTTCTCAGTAGGTAATTCACTTCAAGTATGGATGTGGGGTTGAATGCTCTATGGTATGAGCGTATTAACAAGTGTGAATAGACGAAAGATCCATGCTCGCACTTATATTCACCCACAAGCATACTCTTACTGAGAAAAAAACTGCCTAATTAAAGTAATGAAGATAAAAAACGATGTTGTTCAATTTATTGTCAACATTAATATTGAATGGTAAAAATATGGAAACAATAGCTTCTTGACGTAACATTCACAACTAGACTTTGAAATTCATGGCATGTGCCTGGCATTTTCACCAAATTTTCTGATTTGATACAGATATTACTGAGTTTTGGATGGATGTGGATGTTGGTGCGAGTGTTGATCTTTTCTTCTATTACATCCCTTGCGCTAACTCCACCCTGCACTGTTGATATATTCATATTATTGCGTGTATGATGAAAAAACTTGTTTATAGAGCTACATAATTAGAATAGCACAACAAGTATATGAGTAGTACACTCTAACAAGTTATGTCGCAATAAGAAACTCTAAAAAGTTCAAATTTATTTCGTTTGCAGTTTTTTTCGATGATTAAATGCAGTCCAAGGTTAACAGAGTGTTGTGTAAACAGAAAAAAAACGTTGAAGTTAAATTCACAATGGCAGAGTATATGTTTGTCGTGTGTTTTTGTACGACTGTATAATAAAAAAATTGAAACGCAAAAAAACATTAGTGTTTCACAAGCAACGAATCTTCAGCTACAACAGTAGGAGTTGGGAGAAGATCAAACGAAATTCAATAACCATTCTTGTCATCGATATTACAAAAGCCTTGTGCAGGTTAAACTTTTCGGATTGACTATCTTATACTGGTTCCTTCGTATCTGATTCATTATTTTCTTTGAATATCAATATTCAATAAAAACTGAAACTTTCATACACATGCAGAATTTACATCAGAATAACTTTCCGAAGGTCTATTTAGTTCTGAGTGTGGGGTGTGGGTGGGTGGGCGTGAGTGTGGGTGGGTGTGGGTGTGGGTGTGAGTGTGGGGTGTGGGTGGGTGTGGGTGTGGGTGGGTGTGGATATTGTCTTCCAGGATACCCACACCCACACTCACACACCCACCCACCCACACGCATACACATCCACACCCACACCACCCACACCCACACACCCACCCACATCCACACCCACCCACATCAGCACCCACACCCCAACGCGGATAGGTCAGAAAAATTAAACGAAGTCGTTTGTTGACGAAACATATAGATGAGAGGATATCAAGTAATGAAACATTGTCTAGAATTTTATGAATTAATTCTACAGGTAACGTTGTCAGATAGCTCGGCATGTTTTTTTCTGATGATATAACTGTTATTTCTCCATTTCACGAAAGTATATATATGAACGATTGGAAACAATAACCGTCCTGTTCGCTTCATTGAACTATTCGACGAATTTTGTCACCAAGAAAATGCTTTCTTTCTGTCTTGGTCTTGGCTATTATTTAATAAAGGAGTTGGCGCTTATACCTCTCCGCTTATTTTTTGTTCGTTTTATGATTTTCTTGTTGGGGCTGGTGTGCTGATATGAAAGCACTATACCATACGATGAACTTCCT